TGTTTTTTTTTTTTAGGAGAGCTGTTCACGCTTGCTGTCTTGGACCGGGAGCGGGAAACAGAATATGATCTTGTTGTCAAAGCGACTGATGGCGGTGGCCGCTCTTGTCAGGCAGACGTCACACTCATGGTGCAAGACATGAACGACAACCCGCCACAATTCTCCACAAGCCATTATGAAATCACGGTGTTTGACAACACAACGATTAGGACGCCTATTGCTGTCATCTATGCCAAAGACACAGACACAGGTATGGTACTGTTTTCTCTTGTCACGAATGGCTGCTTTAAAGCAAAAACACAGACTGGCTTATCCACTCAGAAAACATTAAAAGCCCCCAGCTTTTTTTCCTTGACCCATCACACGCAGATTGAAATCCTAAAGGTATGCAGCGTTTGATGTGGGATTGAAGGCTGTGACAGAGAAACATGATTAGGGCGGGACAGACCACACCTGGAGATGTGTGTGAACATGTAGAGTACACGTACTGACTACCGTCACAGGGATTCATGTGAATTTGAACTACTTTTATATAATATGTCTTCAAGTGAATTAATGACATTATTCTCTCTAAGCACAAGTATTACGCAAATGTGCAAAGTCAAAGAACAGAATGTTTTTATCTTGCAATGTGAACATCCATAAGAGGTAACACTTTATTTTGATAGTCCACTTTAGACATTCTGCTAACTATAAGTAACTGTGTAACTACATGTCAACATGCAGTGATTAGAGTATTTGTAGACTGTCTGCTTAATATCTGCTAACACTTTATTACACTTGATGCTTCCAACAGACTATTCTACTGACTATAAGTAACTTTGCACATGTAAAGTACGTCAACTTATTCTACCAATCATAACCATAACCCTAACCTTACAGTCTACTAATACTCTAATGAGAGTTAGTTGACATGTAGTTTCAATTTAATGAGAGTTAGTTGACATGTAGTTTCAATTTAATGAGTTGATATGTAGTTGCAAAGTTATATCTAGTAGAATGTCTAAAGTGGACTATCAAAATAAAGCATAATCAAATCAACAGTAACCATTTAAATAATTGTATGGTAACACTTTATTTTCATGACTAGCATGGATATTATTAGCATATTGGCTGTTTATTAGTACTTATAAAGCACATATTAATGCCTTATTCTCCATGACTATATCTTAGATCCCTTAATCCTAATTTTAACAACTTCAGTACCTTACTAACTATTAATAAACAGCAAATTAGGAGTTTATTGAGGCAAAAGTCGTAATTAATAATTAATGGTGAGAATAGGTCCTTAAAATAAAGTGCAACCAATTATATTTTATTACTAGACATTACTTTTAAGACATTTTAAGTCATTTTAGGCATCTGTTGCTCTGCTATTCCTGAACTGAAATACTGAGAATGTTATGTGATATAACTCTTTCAGGTATAAACTCAGAGGTGAGATACTCTCTTCAAGGTGCCGACAGTGGCTACTTCTCCCTAGATGAAATCTCAGGCATTCTGAGACTGGAGAGATCTCTAGCCGATGAGACCAAGGCCACTTATGAGATGAAAGTGAAAGCCACTGACCGAGGCCTCCCTCGCCACCTTTTCTCCTTCGCCACCATTACAGTACACGTGGTCGTCCTGAGTGATTACCAGCCGTTGTTTCTTAGCTCGGAGTACTCTGTACAGATCCCAGAATCATTGCACATCGGGTCGGAGGTGATCAGTGTGTCCGCCCTCACCAAAGATGACACTGAAAGCAAGCCTGTGCGTTACAACATCATCTCTGGCAATGAAGACGGCCGATTCAAGATAAACCCCATGACAGGTAAGGGCTTTTTCATTTAGCTTTCTTTTTTGGTGGATGTAAAAGAAATATTTCATTTCAAAACATCAAATATGTCAACATTTTTACATTTTCACTTTTCACTTTGCAAGTGCAAGTGCAACCAATAAGAAAAACAACAAGACATGGTTAGTTTGCATAATTGTCAGCCCCCCAAAAACAATTTATGAATTAATGACATTTAAAAAAAATTATATTTTAACCTAGAATATGTATTTGTAAGGTGTATGAAAAATATGTTTTTACTTTTTACTTGGTTACATGGCATTTTTAAAGTGATTAAATTGAATCCTTTCTTGAAAATGGTATAAAAGTTCTAATATTGTTTTCAAAAAAGTTTGGTCACACTTTATTATGTCCAATTCTCACTATTAACTAACTATTAACTATGACTTTTGCATCAATAAACTCCTAATTTGCTGCTTATTAATAGTTAGTAAGGTTGTTGTTAAGTTTAGGATTAAGGGATCTAAAATATGTTAATGCAGAATGAGGCATTAATATGTCCTTTATTTGTACTAATAAACAGCCAATATGCTAGCTAGCAATATGCATACTAGTTAACAGTGAGAATTTTTCCTTAAAGGGGTCATATGATGCGATTTCAAGTTTTCCTTTCTCTTTGGAGTGTTACAAGCTCTTGGTGCATAAAGAAGATCTGTAAAGTTGCAAAGACTAAAGTCTCAAATCCAAAGAGATATTCTTTATAAAATTAAGAGTCAGCCACGTCTACCTAAAACGGCTCGTTCTAACACGCCCCCACACTGTAAACCCGAACAGTACTACTAACTTATAAAGATTAAGAACACTGCAATTAAAGTCTGTTAAATCGTTGATGCAACTTATA